CAAGTCTTTAAAAATAACAGTGAACTCTGCAAATAGTCAGTGATGACAGATGAGGCAGCTTCTTGCCTGATTTTTCCTTAAACATTTTTATCACTCTCCATTGGGGTATTTTTTCTGTGGGCCCACATTTTATGGGGCCCTAGAAGTTTTTTTTTAAAAAAAATTAAAGCCATCAAAACAGATAAGCTCATGCCATTTGCAGCAACATGGATTGAGCTGGAAGGGGTTATGCTAAGTAAAATAAGTCAGGAAGATCAAGAAAAATATTGGATGGTTTCACTTATAGGTGGAATATAAAGAAACCCAACAAAGGGTGAGGAAAAAGACAAAACTTGCAAACTGACCTTAGATCTGAGGCTGGTAGGGGTGGGAAAGAGGGGGGGTCAAAGCAGAGGAGGAAGAGCACAAGGGACTGTGGTGTTGGATCACAGGTGATGTGGTGGGAGAATTACAGGGACTACACCTGAGGGGTGAAATCAAATATTGTACATAAGGAACAATGATGTAAAGAAAGTAAATAAATTAATTGAAAAAAAAATAGAGAGAGATTGCCTTTGTAAGATGTTTTAGGGACTCTCCTTCTCTTTTCCAAATTAAGGCATGTTGTCTTCCTGAGCAGACTCGGTTCAAGTTGGGTGATACTAAGGTGTCTGTGTTGGGAGTGCACAGGGTAAGTATTCAGCACAATCAGTTTTGCAGCAGAACCGTGATCTCCTTGGTGCTTTATCATTCGTCAGTTAGAAAATTCTGGTCCTCCCGGAAGTGTTGTTTTTTTTTTTTTTCTTCCCAGAGGTTTTTAGCTCCAGATAAATGACCCAAACTTTGTCAGTAGAGTAGGAGTGATGAAACATGTTATCTTCTCTTTTTGCCAGTTTGTATGGGAATAAAGGAAGAAGAGTTCATGGCCCCGCAGAGGGAAAGGCGCACATCAACACATACGGCGAAATGTCGTCTCTCTTCCTCTTATCTGTTATTTCAAATTGTCTCCATAGCCAGCAATCTGGCATCGTTTGCCAGCATGAACTTTATTCCATTTGTATGCCAAGTTGCAATTCCCTTTACAATGCACTTTAGAGCTTAAGATCTATCTGTCAGCTGTTATTTAAAGGAGCAAATAAATTTGTCAGTATTCGGTAAACACAAAATAATTCAATGTAATGAAAGCGCGAAGCCAAAGTTGTTAAATGTAAGAGCCAGTGAAGATAACTGTATAAATTTGTGGCAAAATGGATGGAGCTGGAAGGGATTATGCTAAGCAAAATAAGTCAAAAAGAGAGAGATAAATACTGGATGGGTCCACTTATATGTAGAATATAGAGAAACCAAACAAAAGATCAAAGACAAGACGTGAAAGCTGACTGTAGATCCCAGGGATCCAGGAGGGAGGTGAAGGGACAGGGAGATGGGGAGGGGTGAAAACAGGAAGGGGACGAGCACACTGGACTATGACTAAGGCTACCAGAAGGGGATGTGGTGAGGTGAGAGGAAGGAGGGCAGAGGGGGTCTAATGGAGGGTTACTGGGGCTTTGGTGGTAGGTGTGGTGAAATAACGTAAAATTGTAGAGGTAGAAATTTGTATCCTTAAGACATATACTATGATGTAAATCAACATTACATCAATAATATAAGTTTAAACATAAACAATGTAAATTTAAAAAAATAAAATGAAGCTAGTGAGTCATTTACACACAAGTCACTTTTTTTTTAAAGTTTTTCTTTTTCCATCATAAAACGATATTTTTTTAAAGATTTATTTATTTATTTATACAAGCACTGGGTACAGTCAGAAGTGCGGGAGGGTGATAGAATTCACCAGAGCTAGAACGGGGAGCAGAGCAGGCAGAAGGACAGAAGTACACTGCTGAGGGGAGCAGCGGGTGGCAGGAGAGGTCTGCGTGCCATGTGGGACCCTCCTCTGGTGGCCGGGGAGCAGCCGGGGATTGAACTGGTGCCGCAGAGGCTGCGGGCAACCACTGCGCCACCGGGGAGGCCCCCACAAGTCACTTTTTAATGGATTTACCAGAGGTGAATTGATTTTCATTTCTTTGAAGCCCACCTTCAACTCTTGTTATGGTGATATTGCTCAGGAGTTGGAGAGTTAAAGAACTCATTTCCTGAAGCACATCAAATGCTTTTCAGTAGCTGCTCAGTGTCCCCACTCATATGTTAGCCCATGATAGCCCTATTGAAGTACTTTAGATCTGTTAACCTTTTTTTTTTTTTTTCAGTATTTTTGAGTGTTTACCATCTGAAGCTCTAAGAATGCACTGTGCAAAATAACATATATTTTAAAATCTTTTCCAGAGATTTTAGTATTGGAAGAATCCAATAGAAAGCCTATTTTAATATGGTCTTGTATATACACACACATTATGTCTTTATGGTACATGTATATCTTAGGGAAGAAAGTAGGAAATGCTTTCTGAGGTAACAATGAATGGGAAATGTTTCTGGAACATTAGGTCCCTTAACTGTCTCTATTAAAGAAACCCACCACTACGAAAGAGCAAACTAAACAGAATTCACATGGATGTAGGAGAGAGCTTCATGCTCTCATTTTTAAAAATCTGTGTTGCTTTTTAGTGCATGTGTATAAAGTCTTCTTATATTCTGCAAGCTTTTTTGCCAGATTGCAGTTTTGAGGATCTCCATGCTCTTTTCCCTTTTCTTCTTACTTGATTAAGTTATGCAGGTAAAGCCGATATTTCCTCATCACCTACTTATATGAATGAAAGGTTCATTAGACCTGGGCCTGTATCAAGCTCCCATTCTGTTCCTAACACAACCTGAGTGGACCTAGAGAGTGGCCATGAAAAGGTTTAGAAATAATCATTTTTAGTTCCTTCTGTGCTTTACTGATCTCCACAGAGATGAAACTCAGACCCTCTGCATTCTTTGAAGTACTGAAGGCAGGGTTTGTGACTTCTTGCTTCTCTGCTCTGCATTTTGACTCTTTGCTGTGGTGCACCCAGGGTGAGCCAGAGAAAGAATCAGCCAGGTGCCACATAGCAATTAGCAGCAGTCAGCCATTGGTGTTTTGTCAATGACTCAAGGGCCCTGAGCCAGATCCCCATAGCTAATACTTGACCTATTTTGGTTTTACCATCTCCCCACTCCAGTCTCTAATCTTCCAGCTTGATTCCTGCCCTGACTCCTATGGATTGGACTCTGGTTCTTCCTCTCCTGGCCAATGGCCTTGGTTCACTATGTCTTCAGTGGAAACGGTGTCTAACTCAGGTTTGTGGGTTCCAGTGCCTACCACTGGTCACTTGACCAACCTAGAAACTTTTTGGGCAGCAACAACTTCAGTTTGATAAAATGTCTTTTTTTAATCCAAATTCTCTTCTTTTTTCATTCCCCTCCTATTTTTCTTTTAAATTTTGCTGACCATCCAATTCAGTATGGCGTTAAATTTCAGGTGTGCAGATGAGTGTTCTTTTTGATGCTAAAAGTCAAATATATATGCTAAAAGGTCAAGTAAACAAATATATACCCATTTTTAGATGTCAGTCTTTTCATTCCTGATCATTGAGAATAAAAGCCCGTTATCAAGACAGAAGTACTTTCTTCAGCACTTTCTCTCTACTCAGTATATGTCCTCCAACATAATCTTATTTGATCTTTAGTTGTTTAAAAGCCTTTCTTGATTAGTTGATTTCTCATTGATGTACTGTTGGCATTACAGAGTATATATTTGTTTGAGAGACGTGCACTAGTGTTAAATAATTAATTTTTATGAATTCTAATGGAGAATATGTTTTATTCTGCTAGAAGCATTTATTTGGTGCTTTCCTCCCCAGTAGAAGATGGATTTTTTGGGGTACCACTTTATATTTAAAAAACACAATTTGGGTCACAAAATCACCTGTGTCAGGGACATTTTAGAAATTCTGTACTCCATATTGTCTTAATTCTTCTCAGTTATAGAAGTAAGTTCTTCCTGATTGTATCTCCTCCCACAGAGTCAGGAAACAATTGCTTTACCACATCCATCATTTCTGTCTGCACATTATCTTGTTTCAAAGGTTTCCCAATTAATCCTGTGGAAGCTAGAATCACTCATAATTATAATCCTGTTATATCTTCTTTATTTCATGATGTGCTTGTTAATTCAGGTCTGTCCTACAGTGGTCTGTAACTTAGTGCTATTATCAGCTCTTTTGTCTTTAAAAGCCTCTTGTCTAGCATTTTGACAAAGATTGATTAACTGCACTTTGTTGAAATCGATCATTTTGAATTAAAAAAAATCCATGCTGTATATTTGTTCTGGCTACTTTTGCATGATTTCACTTTTTTTCCCCAGTTAATCAATCTGCCAAATTGGTAACTTTCCCCCTTTTGGCTTCCTTTCTCTTGCTCTTGTCTTTTTAAAGAATTGTCTATCTCTTTATTTCTTCTGCTCTCTCTTAGGCAACATCTCCAGAAAGAAAAGCCGATTGCGATGGAATAAATTATCACTTTAGAATCTGGCTACATTCTACTTCCATTTCCCTTTTCATAAAATGAGAAAGAGGTTCCTTCTACTTGGTGATCTGTCCCTGAGCACATTTGGGGTGAATGCTTCATGATTGATTGTCAAACTCCTTGCAGACACTATAATATGCTTTTTTTTTCTTTTTAAGATTTATTTATTTATACAAGCACTGGGTACAGTCAGAAGCACGGGAGGGTGAGAGAATTCACCAGAGCCAGAGCGGGGAGCAGAGCAGGCAGAAGGACCGAAGTACACTGCTGAAGGGAGCAGCGGGCAGCAGGAGAGGTCTGCACGCCATGCGGGACCCTCCTCCGGTGGCCGGGGAGCAGCCGGGAATTGAACCGGCGCTGCAGAGGCTGCGGGCAGCTTCGCAACCCAGCGCTCAACCGCTGCGCCACTGGGGAGGCCCTATAATATGCTTCTTAGTGATAGCCTTAAACTCCTGTATTTTAATCTTGTCAAGTGGATTCAAACTTCAACACCAGGATTCTTTTGTACATAGTAATATTTTCTTTTCTTCTCTTAGGTACTGACTTTAACATCGACAGCTTACCTCTTCCTCGGAAAGCCTATCACGACTGGGCCCTTTTTCATGAAGAGTCTCCAAAAAACAATTACAAGCTCTTTCACAAGCCTGTCATCACCTTGTTCAACTACACGGCCACATTCAGCCGACATTCCCACTTGCCATTAACCACCCAGTACTTGGAGGGCATAGAAGTCCTGAAGTCACACCAATACTTGGTTCCTCTGCAGTCCAAAAACAATCTCAGAAAAAGACTTGCTCCGCTCGTGTATGTACAGTCAGACTGTGACCCACCATCAGATAGGGACAGCTATGTTCGAAAGCTGATGACATACATTGAGGTTGATTCTTATGGGGAGTGTTTACGAAACAAAGATCTCCCTCAGTCACTGAAAAATCCAGCCTCCATGGATGCTGATGGCTTTTATAGGATAATCGCGCAGTATAAATTTATCCTTGCTTTTGAGAATGCTGTGTGTGATGACTATATCACTGAGAAGTTCTGGAGACCTCTGAAACTGGGGGTGGTCCCCGTCTATTATGGATCCCCCAGCATCACAGACTGGCTTCCAAGTAATAGAAGTGCTATTCTTGTCTCAGAATTTTCTCATCCTAGAGAACTGGCAAGCTACATCAGACAATTGGATTATGATGACAGATTGTACGAGGCCTACATAGCATGGAAGCTGAAGGGTGACATCTCTAACCAGCGACTTCTCACAGCTCTCAGAGAACGGAAATGGGGGGTACAAGACATTAGCCAGGACAATTATATCGATGCATTTGAGTGTATGGTATGCAGGAAGGTGTGGGATAATATTAGGCTTCAGGAAAAGGTAAGCAACTCAAGATTTGGTGAAAGGGTGCTAGAATGGCCTTAAGGCAGTCTGTCATTCTGTCTCTCTCTGTTGCAACTGCCTCTTGACTGGCCCTCATTCCTATCAGAAGGGTAGGCTCTTGAGGAAGGTAAACTAGTTCATTGGTGTCCTTTGAGGACTATCATGAAGTTTGCTGGTCATATCCTTCTTCCTAAAGACCTTAAATTCTCCTGTGTCATTTCTTTTTAAGGACATACAGTGCCGGGTATGACATGGATCTTGCAGAAAGAAGGAAGAGTTTAAAATAGTAAAAAATAAATTGAAGTTCTAAATCTCCTCCACACATCAAGCCTTGAGCTTCTCTATCAGTGCCACTTGATTTACAGTCATGCCCTACAGGCTGCCATTTTAAAACTTTTAAAAAAATTAAAAAAAATTTTATTTATTTAAGCATGCAAGAACTGGGGTACAGGCCTGAGGTGTGGGGAGTGAGAGGATTCACCATAGACAGAGTGGAGAACAGAACAGGCAGATCTACTGAAATACCCTGCTAAGAGGAGCAGCGGGTGAGACAGGAGAGGTCTGTTGTGCCATGTGGGTTTCTCCCTGGTCAACTGGGGGATCAAACTTGTGCTGCAGAGGCTGCAGATAGCTTCACAGTGCTGTGCTTAACCCCTTGCTCCACCAGGGAGGCCCTGTTTTGGAACTTTTTTTTTGTTTATTTCTTTTTTATTTTATTTTTATATAAGTGGGTTTCCCATTCTTTTTTTTTTTTTTTAAAGATTTTTGTTTATTTATTTATACAAGCACTGGGTACAGTCAGAAGCACGGGAGGGTGAGAGAATTCATCAGAGCCAGAGCAGGGAACAGAACAGGCAGATCGATGAAATACACTGCTGAGGGGAGCAGCGGGCGGGTGGCAGGCGAGGTCTGTGTGCCATGTGGGACCCTCGCCTGGCCGCCGGGGATCGAACTGGCGCTGCAGAGGCTGTGGGCAGCTTCACAACCCAGCGCTCAACCGCTGCGCCACCGGGGAGGCCCTATTTCTTTTTTTTTTTTTAAGTTTAATTTTTTGTGAACTATTTAAATAGTTCCAATATGTTTTTTTTTTTTTAAGATTTATTTATTTATTTATACAAGCACTGGGTACAGTCAGAAGCGCGGGAGGGTGAGAGAATTCACCAGGGGAACAGAACAGGCAGACTGATGAAACACACTGCTGAGGGGAGCAGCGGGCGGGGCAGGAAAGGTCTGCACGCCATGTGGGACCCTCGTCGGAGGCCGGGGATCGAACCGGCACTGCAGAGGCTGCGGGCAGCTTCACAGCCCAGCACTCAACTGCTGTGCCACCAGGGGAGGCCCCCCATTTTGAAACTTTTCATTTCACATACTTAATCAACTCCTCTCTGTCTGTCTGTCTCTTGCTATGATTTTTGCTCTTGCTCTTGTTAATATACAGAGACTATGCAAAAGACAATGGGGATAATCCTTAAGGAACATAAATTATTATAGTAATTAGTAATGTCTTCAATTGCCTAGACACTTGTAATGTTTATTTGCTTACTTTATTTATAACAGAAATGGTTCTGCTTTATACATAAGTGAATTTTTAAAAAGGAAATTTGTTGAAAGAAAAAGATATATTAGTTTCAACTACCAATGAAATTTTTTGAAAATGAGATGATACACACATACCACTTGCTGTCACTCATCAGTCCCATGTCTGACTCCTCTGTCCACATGTTTTACCTAAATTCTCTAGATGCAAACAATTTTTGCTCAATATTTTAATGTTTATTTTGGGTAGCATATTAATTTTAGGTCAGACATAAACCTAAACAGTGTGTGGAATTATTTTTATGTGTTGTATAGGTTGTCAGAAAAGTCATGATGCATTTTTGCTTGAAAAACATAGAAAAATACATCATGACTTTTCCAACAACCCAACATATGTATTATAAATTGCATATATGAAATACGTATATATTTAGATACATTTAAATTATTTGAAACATGCTTTTCTTAATTTCAGTAATTGAAAATTTGAATTCCTTTATCTGGTTTTAGATAATAGGTTTTTATCCATAAAGTCATTTATTTTAAGCTGAGTGTCTTGGTCAGCAACAGGAACATGAAATATTACATCATTCTTCTCAGAGAGTGCATCTCGATTTCCACTGACTTCCTCTATGACCTAATTTACAGGGCCACATTATAGCAAATACCAGAACACACACACTATTGCAAATTACACATCAGCTGGTAGAAACCACATTGCTTATGCTCTATCATAGTTACATATTTATTCTCAAAATATGTCAAGGAGGATAATTGGTGAGGGTGATAACTTTTCTGAGACATCTTTCATGATCCTTTCTAGGCATCAACATTATATTTACAGAAAAATGAAGGAACATGTAAATCCTAATCACTCTTGAACCTTAGAGAAACCCTGTTGGAATGATTATTGGGTTTGGAAGGGCGTAACAACAGAGATAAATAGCTGTTTTAAAGACATAGGAGAAAACATACATTTCTGCATTTTAAACAGAGATAGCAAATGGTGGTAGTTCAGAGTACCTTAATGTAATCAAATGTCCTTCTCCTCGGTGTCCTTGAAGAAGGATAGATCAGGCTCTCCTAGTGTGCTCTTATTCCTTCCAGAGAGGTCATCATTGAAGATGATTAGAAGTCTTTGCTTGCATTTCATTGAACTTGTTACAGTTCTCAAATGCTAATGTGCTCATTAGTGAAAAACAGGATAAAACATGCCTGCAAAGTAAATTACAGGAAAGGGAAGACCCATTGTTGACATGTGGGGTTTCCCCATTATGAGCACCACCTTCCTCCAAGTCAGCAAAGGAAGTACCAGCAAAACCAGTGCTACAGTCTTACCTATGTATCTATGTACACATGATGCATGCAAGTTCTGATCTTTGCCATAGTCTGTTGGTTAGAGGTAAATGACAAGAAGCACGAGGCAAGTGACTACTTTCAAAGGGAAAGGATCACAAAGGGCATGGACACCAGGAAGCAGGGATCATAATAGTCATTTGAGTCTGTTTTACATAACCAGTGAATCTGAGTATTTTCAGCTGCCATGAGAGAGAGAGAGACAGGACCCTGAGAAAATTTCATCCCTGTGGCCCAAGACTGCAATGTCTGACTAAGCCTGAGATTCCCAAGACAACAAATAACCAATTCTGCTCTCACTGTGAACTTACCACTAAGTAACAAACAAGAGCAGTTTACTGCTGGAGCAGGAGCAAGAATGTGGAGACCCCCTCTGTGGCATAGCAATACAGGAAGGTAGCAGAGAAATACTAGGAAAGATGCTACAGAGCCCCCAGGTTCCACTGTAAACATAGGAAATAGTGCTTAGTCACTAGATAACTGTCATTACTGGAATACTTTGAAACCTATGGAGTACTAAAGGTAACAGGAGCAACACAAATTCAGTTCAATTCCTGAGGAGACCAACTCAATCCCACATATACCATCAGCCTGATAGAAAAAGAGGCTTGCCCATTTCTGAGCATAAATCTTAAATACCTGAGTCTCTGTACCTCTGTATATGATGTCCAGCAATCAATTAAAACTCATGAGACCCATAAAAGTAAAAAAAAACAAAAAAACAAAAATACCATCAGGAGATAAAGCAATCAATAGAAGCAGGCTCAGAGATGACTCAAATGTTTTAAGCTTGCTTGTTTCAGTGGATCTACAAATACAACTTGTGTTTATTTCTGTGGTTCTTGAATAAGTAGGTGGGACAGTTATATTTAACAACTGGGAGAAATCTCACATGGGTTCCATGGTCTATGGAATGAGACATTATGGTAAGAAAAGTCAAGTCAGAGCCCTTAAAACTTCCCCATCAGTCAAAATAATAAATCTCAAAGCAAAAACATATCCTTAGAAAAATTAAAGAAATCAGTGCCCCCATCAGAGTATGGGGAGGGGGATGAAGCCATCATATCTTCCTCCTCCATTTAATTCACCTTTCTGACTCCTGACAAAAACCTGATAAGTCATGGCAGATGGTATGGGATTAGCATGAGCTAAACCTGACAGTAGACCCAATTCTAGCTTGCTTACTGTGATATCTGTATAGAATCAGATCAACATTGCTCTAATACCCACCAAGTGCTGAGTGTAGGCTAACAAAAAGCAGATGTTTAGTGTGATTTCTCCTTGATGGCAGCTAGTTTCTTTCCTTTGTCACCCAAATTTTTCTGTGGGGCCATGAGCAGAGAAAATATCATGGCAATGTCAGGCTATGTTTGTATCCAAAAGCTTTGGTTCTAAATCATAAAGGTAGAATTCATTACTGCCATTGTTCAAAGCCTAACCTTCCAGTAGCAGTAACGAATGCCGGGCCTTTCAATATGAAACTTTTCTTTATGGAGACCCTCTAGCCATGTAGTGGCAGGCTGAATGTACCTAAACTCTTTCATCCTAGAAAAAGCAGCAATTTGTCCTTCCTGAAATTGATATTCTCTCTAGATACACATTTGACTTCCTTGTCCCCCATATCTTTGCAGCAATGTTATCTAGGGTTACAGAGTGCCTTCTTTAGCAACATGATATTGTACAACATTGACTCAGGCCTAGGGACTTATGTATTGCGAAGAAGGTATCCAAATGGACAAATGACATGATGACAATGGACAATATGACAATGTGACAGTGGACACAGGGGGAGCTTTACTCTAGTTTACTCACTACTTTCACTATGTAGCCATCACTCAGAAGCTGGCCTAAAAATTGTGGGATAGCCTTCTACCATCTTAAGGACCAACTCAAGAACAAAACCCTACCAGTGGTCCATAGATGGGCCTGTATTTCAAATAGCTGGAGTAGACAGTTATGGGAACCAAAGAGTAGATGTAGTATTGACTAATCCCATCATCATGATCAATGTCCCCTTTGTTTATTTCATGCTTCTTATCCCTTTTTTAGGTTCTTGACTCCTGGCTAGTGGGGGGAAAGGGAACCTTCATTAATGAAGAGGTTAATTCCTTCACATGTCAAAGATGTACGTGGCAGCTTCCTCTAGGGTCACAAAGGAGAAATTCATAAACCCCAGACATTCACTAAACTTGAATTTATAGAATTACAATTGTTGCTAGTCACTTTTGGTTCTTCATATTGGTGGACTAATGCAAAATAAGGACATGATTGTATTTGTAGTAGTAATGGGCTAACTGAGGAGTTTACATTGCTGTTACACAGTGAAACAGATTAAAGTATGACAGACTGAGCATCTCTTTGGTATTTCCATGCACAGTGATGAAAATGAAAGTATAATTAAAGTATTAGAACAAGGCAACTCAGATTTTTCAGGGCTGAAGTTCTGGGTTAGGCCACCAAGCATGAATTTCCTTATGATCAGGAACCATGTTCTCTTTGGAAGCAAAATATTTACTAATCATACTTTAGAAATAGCTAGTTTTTCTGCTCAGGACCTCAGCTGGAAAGGCGATTTGGGATGCTAAAACTTAATAACTTTAAAAAATTTTAATTATTTCATCAGATGCACTCCAGGTCATACTGTGAAATATTTCTGAAAGAACACTAGGATTAAAAGAATCCATTTCATAAGATTCTTTTTCTGTGCCATCAACACAGATGGAACTTTACTCCACACTGTTGAATGGACTCCTAAGTGGGCAGGCAAGGAAACATCAAAACCTTTTTTCTTGAGTTATGCACAGGCAAGATTGGTAAGGCGATTGAAGGTTATATGACCACTACATCTTCCAGTGACTGGTTATTCAAGCATCACAGAAAAGTTATTGTTCCTTGTGTTGAAACATTTCCAGTGGTGATTTCCTTATTTCAAAGGTAGTTCATTTTATCTTTTGTTAGTTTTCTTTTTTTTTTTTTTTTGGTGTTGAACTCAGATTTCCCTTTCTATAGCTGGTTTTTAGCTACCTGCTTCTGATTCCTTTATTCAGCTTCATACAGTCTTGCAACTTCAATAAAGAAAAGCTTTTAGTGGTAATTATTTTAAAACTTCCTTCATTCTGTTCTGTTCCTGCTCCAAATGGTCTCTACTCATGAACTTGAACTCTGACTAGAGTATGAATTCTAGCGCAAGTAACCCCAATTTAGAACCTCCCTCTGTCTGGTCCTTTGGACTTTGTATTGGTGTACAGACTTCCCAAATTTAAGCTTTAGTGTTTCTTAATGGTTTGCTGTTTGTAATCGCATTTTCTGTGCTCAATGTTGACTTGGTAATAAATCTCTGCTTTAGTCCCAGCTCCTTGGAAGTCAAACTCCATGATCACTGCTTCCTAAGAAAAGGGGGTTTGGAGTAACTCTATCCTTCACACTCTACCAAGCAAGCTAATTCACTCATCTACTTATTGCCCCTTCAGATGCTTAAAGATGCATTATGTTCCTTCAAATTTATCTCTTCAAACTAGTTAGGCTTAGTATCTTCTCAGATGTTTCCTATGGGATTCTTAAGGAAAAGAGACTGTGTTCATCCAATCATTTGTAGATAACTGAATTCTGTATTTCTAAGTTGATTTTTCTACTCTGTTTTCTAAATTTGGGATAGCAGAAGATTCTAATCATTATAAATCCAAACACATTATTTTCCTACTATCATCACATTAAAAAACATTTCTCTTTAGAAAAGATAAATATATGTACATAGGTTAAAGTATCAAATAGTTCTGCAAAGCTAGGCAAAAAAGTGTTCTACTTCCCCTTCACCTTCTCTCCAGAAACAACTGTTTATGATCAATATTTAGATAATTATTTTCCTATGTACTTAGTGTTTTTAAATAACCTGATTATTATGTAACACTGTATTTTTATAGTCAGTATTTGTGACTTTGACTACATAACTGTTATTCAGAGATGCACAATGTCATACTCTATGATTTGTTTCCCTTGTCTGCACAGTCTTTTGTTTCCCCCTAGTTAATGGTCTTCTTATTTGATTATATTTCTATGTACTTATCCTTAATTCAATCCTTGTTTATTGTTTAAATCTCCTTTGAAGATGTTCAGATATATCAGGTGTGCATTTATTTCATCTTGTTGGAGAAACCCGTCTGGGTTTCTGACCTATTCCAGCAGGTACTGACCCTCTGTTCAGTATAGAACATCAGCCTGAGATGTGCCTTCTCCAGTGCTTTGGGAATTTCCTTTCTTATCTTTTTCTCTTGCATTGACACCTCTGTTTCCTGTATGCTTTCTCTCCCTTTGTCTTAGTCTACACTCCTGTTTTGGATGATCAGACCCTCAATTAGCTTCCTGAGAAGGGGTGCATGAGAGAATGTCTGAAATGTCTCTTCATCCTACTCTAACATTTAAGTAGTTTAGCTGAATGTAAATTACAACATGGACATCAGTTGTTTTTTTCCAGAATTTGCAGGCATTTTGCCATTGCCTTAAACTTTTAATTTTGTAATAATTTTAGTTTGACAGAAGAATTACAAAGATAGTCCTGAGTTCCTGTACCCCCTTACCTGGCTTCCCCTACTGTTAACATATTATATAACCATGCATTTGTCAACACTGAGAAATTAATTGTTGGAACATACTGTTAACTGAACTACACACTTTGTCCTAATAGCTTTTTCACTAACAGCTGTCCAACAGCTTTTCACTGTGTTTATCTGTTCTGGGATCAAATCCAGGTTACCAGATTATATTTTTCTATCATGTCTCCTTAGTTTTCTTCAATCTGTGACAGGTGTTCAGTCTTTCCTTAATTTTAGTAACTTTGACACTTTGGAAGAGTGATAGCTGGCATTTTGTAGAATATCATTCCATAGATTTACCTGATGTTTCCTCATGTTGAGACTTGGGTAATGGCTTTTGGGAAATAATGTCGCAGAGCTGAAAGGGCCCTTCTCATTGTATTGTTTCACGTATATGTGATGTGAGTTTGGCATGTTACTGGTTATGTTAATTTTGATTATATGTTAATGTGGTGTCTTCTAGGTTTTTCCATGGAAGTTACAAACTTTCCCTTTCCACTGAGTCACTAAGTTCAGCCCACATGAAAAGGAGGGAATTAAGCTTCACCTCCTTGAGAGAGGAATGTCAATTTGTGGACATAAGTTAAAACCATAAGTTAACATAAGTTAAAATTATAATTATTATTATAATTAATAATTATTTGGGGGAGATAACTTGAGGCTGTGCAGATAATCTTTTTTCTCCTTAAAGTTTTACCCACTTATGTTAACATTCATCAGTGAACCTCACCTTTGCCTTTGAACTTCCAGGGTTATTGTCAGAGAACCTGAAGTCATTGTAACTCCTAATCCTCAAAATCGAATTTTTCCTCCCATGGAGGCTGTAGAATCTTTTCCTTCTTTCCTATGTTCTGAAATTTCATAAAAATGCATTCTGGCTAGAGACTATTTGCATTTACCATACTAAGCTCTATTTGAACTTTTCTATATGAAACATATCCCCTCAATTATTATCTTCTTGGATATTTCTTGAGTATTTCTTGCCTTCCCTCTTTCTTTTCTGTAACACTTGTATCTTACCCTTAATATTTACATTTTTGAGATGAGGCCTTTAATGTTAAAGAACCAAAGCAGAAGATACATATTCAGATGTTTTCCCATTTCTTTATCTTTTCTTCTTTATAAGATATACTTCAAATAATTTCTACTATTTAATTTCTAATATTTCATTTTCTTATGAAATGAAATATTATTTCATTGTGTTAAAAGAAATATTTTATTTCTTTATATATTTATTTTTCTGGCATCTGTTTATTTTTCATTGTCTTTTTTTTAAATCTGTAAATGTGTTAGGCAGTTTTATTTGAAGTTTTCTAATGTATTTCCCATGCTGTTGGTAATTTTTCTCAGTTGTTTTGTGATCTTGTAACCTGCTCATATTAGGGTGGTGTGACTATAACCCCTGAGGATGAGTGGGCACACTGGCTCTGAGCCTCATTGTGGGGTGATCTGGCTAGGTGATTTCCTAATGAGTTATGTCCTCCTCAACATATCACATTCCCCAGAGAAGGACCCTTTATTTTCCTTCCTGGATTATGGGACCTGGCACCAAGACTATGGGGATGGACTAGAGGAGGTATACGAAGGTCTCAATATCCACTGTTCACAGGCTCACTTCATCCTTCTGTTTTCAGTGCCACGCCACTGTCCTCAGCTTCACCTCTTTCTCTAAGTCAAAGATCTAGAGTGTTTTATTTCTCCAGAGAATAAAACAGGTAAGTTTAGAAAGGAATCTGAGTACCTGTTTCACAGACCCTCTTAATTCTTTTTAATCTATTGCCTTTGTCTTAATTTCAGGAGTGTCTGATATCTCCTGGGTCTTTGTGGAGCCTGAGTTCCCACCTCTGTAAAATGGGGTAGTGGTTACCTATATAATATATTTGCCATAAGAATTAAATGATCTATGTGAAGTGCCTAGCAAAGTATCTCATGCTCGGAGTAGTCTCAATAAATATCAGATTTTTTCTCCTTTAACTATTCTCCATTAAAACTATTGAGATGGTTTGAAGTTGAGATACTTGGTTTAGGAAAGGTATGTGCTGGGTTCTGTTGTTGCCTGGCAGGAACATGGGATTTCTGCTTCCGTATCATGTTTTTTTCATTAGTCTCCCCTTTTCTCAATGCAGGGCTTACCACCTAAAAGATGGAAGGCAGAGGTTACCCACCTGAGTTGCCCAGAGCCTACCGTGTTTGCTTTCTCACCTTCGGCTCCACGTTGGAGCTCTTTGCGAGAGATGTGGATACCAAGCTTCCAGCAGTCCAAGAAAGAAGCACAGGCACTAAGGTGGCTGGTTGATAGGAATCGAAACTTTTCAGCTCAAGACTTTTGGACCCTCGTATTCAAGGACTGATTTCAAAAAGTATTAGAATGATAATGATTAGAGCCTTCTTAAGGTTTATTTTCTAGGTTGCCTTAATATCTTAATATAATAGCCTCTCTCTTGACTATCCTTCAGGGTAAGAATAAATTGCTGCAGTACTCATAATGAGCCCTATCAAATGTCATAAGAGATCTGAATTACCCTTAGGGGTCACCTCTCTATTTTTTATACTGAAAAAATATGCAAATATTTCCAGTGGACATTGGTCACCTTCAGTTTACAGACAGACCCATATGCCTGCTGCCTTTTGTGGATTCTCACCAAATGCAGGTTGAATCTTTAACTGCTTAGAGGAAGACAGAGGGTGTAGTAGCAGATTCTTGATACTCAAACCACTATCTGCAGTTTTGGTATTTGGCAAACCCATCATAAACATGAAATGCATTAGAACTTGGCAATAAAAGATTCCATCTGTTGGTTTTCAGGGATAAAAGTGAGTAATAAAATCTGTGTGAAGGGTATCCACTCTACTTTTCCAGTCAAAAGAACATATGCATCTCCACCTTCGACTCCACGCTCAGACACCTCTCCGATCTTTCCTAGCTTCATCTTACCCTAGTTTCTCCGCCGAAGAGGAATGTCTAGTGAAGATGTACCTCCCCCTTGTGTGTTTTGGCTAGTGAGATGTTGCCAACTGACCCTTCCACTACTGAGCAGATTAGTAACATGAATCATGACCAGGTGGGGCTGGACAACCTGTAGATTTTGATCAGTGTGAGAGTGGAGGTGTTAAAGATGATTTTTCTGTTCTGAGGATAAAGTACAGCCTGTCTTGGTGGGCAGCCCCACCAGTTTTGTGAGCATTCCCTGTCCTGTCACAGAGAAAATAAAGCTGTCTTGACTGGAGCATCCACTGAACCTCCACGAGAGACAAGGTGACTGGCTCACATTTTTGGGCTGTGCGAGGGTGGAGAGGCTTCTCGATGACTCTAAAGTCTGTTGCCACCCGATGCATCATGGCTTTGGTATTCTGATAGTGGAAATATATAAACTCCAGAGAACAGGAAGAGTCCCTGGCGCTGTCATGCTCCTGTCATGGCTTACGGGCAAACCCTCGGATAGCTCCTCTGCCACCAGCCCACTTACCCCAGGCAAGTGCTTTATGTGCCTGCTGTGATCAATTTCCTTCCTAAGCTATTCTCTCTGTCTGACTTTGCTAGAATAAGAGGACTGGAACACACACATTCTTTTAGAAGCAGGAAGGGTCACTTTGCTGAGTGGGAGGAAGTGTCTATGGCAGGGTTTTTTTTTCAGTCCCAGCTCTGCTATTAATATGATTTCTTACAAATCTCTCTTTTTTTTCTTTTCATTTTTTTCTTTTATATATATTTACATCATTTTTCATTTTTTGCACAAATCTCTCTTAACCTCCTTACCATGGCTTTAGTTTTGTACCTACAAAGGAGTGATTTGGCTGATCTTTCAAGTTCTGTGTAACCTTTAATTGTTTATCAAAATTCAAGTTTTATAGTTTTTTTAAATCATTAAGACAGTCATAATAAGAACCACTGTATGCTTTTCAAAAGAATCACACTCTAGATCGGAGGATGAAGCATACTAATTGGGTAGTTTGTAGGGTGGAAAGGAATTTACTTACCTTGGCTGTTTTATCTGATTAGAGCAGAAGAGAATGCATTAGAAAGGGGCATTGTTAATTAAGGCTAGATTTTAAATTATTAAATGAGCTTTCTTTCATTGTTGTTTTATACTCTTAAAGGCAAGCCTAAGATATGATTTATACCTCTGATGACTTAGTTCCATGCTATCTTCCATTCTTCCCACTAAATGCCTTAAACAAATAGCCAGTGCTTATATACTGCATGCATATTTTAAACCCCAGCATTTCACTTGGTTTTGTTTTATCTTGGTTCATTACCAAGTCCACAAATAAAATTCTTTCTAAACTCTTCTACAATATATAGCTCTGAACAAAATCAGTGAAACAAACTGCTGATCATTTAACGTGCATAAAAATTTCATATAAGAGGATGGAAGATAGGAAACTTTATGGGAGTAAAAATAAGGTGTGTTATAAAGAAAATAAATCAGGGGCTTTTTGGAACTCTTTTTGAGTAGCCATAGATTTAAGACTTTATTATTATTTTTTTGCTTAGCATATGAGTCTTCTGTAACATAGTTTTCATTAATAAGATGATTCCTGACGATGGTTGTATGGCGTGACGGGCATGTCCCCACTGGAGCAGGACTCTTATCTGCAAGATGGGAGCTGTGCTCTGAACTCCGTGCTAGGCCCCTCAGTGTATTTTTCTGTGTTGATCCCATGGTATCTATCTTTTTCTTTACCCTACTGTCTGTATTTTTGAAATATGACTCATGGATGTGAAGGACTTTGTGCAATGCCACCTTCTGTTTAGTGCAGCTGTGTTGTCAAGGCAAATGTAAGGTAAAAAGAAACCTTTTAGAAATGCTGAAGAAAATGATTTCTAAAGGTAGTCGATAGTTTTCACTTCTTCACCTGAAAATAGAGATAACACTGACCTTTGATCATGTAGCAAACATAATATTTTAGAACTTGAATGCTCTCTTCTAAGTCATAATAACCTCTCTGACTAATAACATGCAGCCACATCAATATGCTGAGCCCAACTCATTAAAGTGTGACCCTGTTGGCGCTAGTGGAAATTATTAAGGAAGTGGGCAAGAGGCCGAGGGAATAAGGAGGAGCAGAAGTGGTTCTGAGTGGTGGTTGTCCTCTCAACTCATAGGAGAAGTGTGGTTGTAACACTACGAGGGTGTGACTAGTCATAGTTGACAGATCTTTTTCACTTTCCTGGGGCTTCTTTCTTGATTTCTGTCTTTACGCCTTTGAGTCGCCTGGAACCAGTGACACGAACAGTTTTACTGTTGTCTCTGACGCTTCTAATAGCGCTCAGAACTGAACATCAATTAATGCCTCCAAGGGTGTTTTGCAAATTAGATGAAAACATTCCTTTCTTCATTTTCCATGCGTATCATCCAGAGGAGGTTACAACCAGCCCGCATAGGCCATACCGAATATTTAGAATTTTACTATCACAAACTCCATCACTAAACAAAAACAGACTGAGCAGGTAATTAAAGAAATTTAGAGACCATTATGTAGGTAGGGGGTGACATAAATGGTTTTGAGGCAGGGCATTGTCCCAGAAGCCTTTGGGATGAGGCTAACATACAGAGTGATCACAACACCAGAGACTCATCAACTCATCAGTTTTACTTAGGAATGTCCTTGAAAGTGATTGATTTTATTAAGCCTCGACCTTTGTCTTTTTAATATTCTGTGTGACAAAATGCGGCGTGTACATAAACACTTGGCTGTTCAGCACAGCAGGAATCTTCAGGAAAAGCACTTGTGTGAGTTTGAATTGGGAGCTGAATTTGCTGCTTGTCTATGGAATTCCATTTTTGACACAAAAACATCTAGCAGACGATGGCCTTTCAGTCTTAGGTTTTGTCAACCATCATCACGGAAGCGAAATGAGCCTGTCACTGTAAGAGAACTGTAAACGTATTGGTACTGGTAAGATTTCAGCTTTCAAGTGAAAATTAAAATTTTGACAAATTATCTTCCATCACATTGAACTTGACAACTTCTTGATTCTTGAAGACTTTCCTGCAGAGATTGGTGGTTATGTTAAACAATGTTACTTTTGACGTTGACTGAAAACAGACATGGTGACTTGAAAGGTTTTTAGTTTATCAGTTTGTTTTTATAATTATAGGAAAGAAAGAGATAGTGTTATATTCTAGAGAGCAATTTAAAAAAAAAATCAGTATTTTTTTTTAGTTGAAAATTTCCATCATAAAGATGGAACTTATAATAGAAGACTACTAAAATTACTGGCAGTTTGAAAATTGGGTGAGACAAAAGGTAATCAGAACTTTAATGAAGGAAATGAACCTCTGATTTTTAAATTGGAGGCCAAGAAAAAAAATAGCAAAGAACAGCAACAAAAAAATTTTTAGAAATATGTCAACAAAATAATAATAATTTGGGTCACTCAGAATGTCAGATTGCCTGGAATTAATTTGATATACTTAGCTAAAATTGGTAAAATATATTAAACTGGCTATATTGACAAGATGTGTTAAAATTACTAAAAGTTCAAATTTAAAATGCATTGTCAAGTCTAGAAGCACATCCTTTTGTTCTTTTCATTCTTCATTCCAATGTTCTATTCCTATTTCCCAGCAACGAAGGCATTTCTTCTGTCAACGTTGGGTGATTTCTGTTAAGAATTAAAACTCTGACTTGGGGAATGGCAATAATGATGGTGTGAAAAAAAATAATGATGGTGAGCTCACTAGGCAAGCAGCTCTATTCTGGCTGAACTCCATCTGTTCACCTTACGCACAGGCGCTGGGGCAAGTCAATATTTACTTAGCCACAGCACCTGAAAAAGTTTCATCTTACAAGCTGCACTCAGTCATCATGTGTATAGTTCACACACCATTAATAAGAAGACTCATTTCACCACTGAAATAATATTATCTGCTAGTCTGAGAGAACGCAGGTCACCTAGATGAGCATCTTTAAGTAGGAAGTACAATCACAGATGTCTTCTATTTCCTGTGTTCATGGTCTCAAGTCCCACTTCAGTATGCGGTTACCCTGGAGATGGTGGAAGAGAAACAGTGAAAATGAACCATGTCTGCTGCAACACCCCCTCCCTTATTTTTTTGGTCTGTTTACTTTGTGGTCCCTCTAGGGATGTCATTGTAAAAACATCTTGGTAACCTTTATTCTGGAAAATGATGTAGCAATCTGTGCCTTTTAGTAAGCTGTTTCCTAGAAAGACAGTAGCAATTGGTAGAATGATCTTGTAATTTAGCCTTCAAACTGGGGCACTTTTGAGTGTGAAAGCTATTAGTTGAGCCAGGACTCTAGTCATGAACCGGGATGTGCAGTTTCCCTGCTCTAGGGAGTATAGAGGTGAACCAGTGTTTTAGCAACTCTGTGTTCTAAAATAGTCTGAGCATGAGTGCAAACATAGGGAGAACACCTCTGCTATTTTTTAAGGGTCTCCTGTGTGCAGGGAGCTGACATGTACAATGGCACTTTCTTGTTACAATAGCCATTGGAGGGCCAGTCTCATCCCCCTGCCCCCCACCCCCTTTTTTATAATACAAATAATACAAAACAAATTTCAGTTTACCTTGGTGGAGTGAAATGTTAGGTCTTTTTTTTTTTTTTTTAAATAGAAAACATTTAAGATTTGCCAAATGTTTCTTTTCCAGGAGGTAGAGGTCTTTAAGATCTCCATTGGATGGAGTTGATCTGTGTTCCGCTTCTTGATCAAACCTTTTACATACAGCAGTGTAAGGCCATTGGGTTGCTTTGTTCTGGAGAAGGGGAGGAATTTTGTTGTGCTTGGAAAGGGTAGAACCTTCAAGCATCTTAGTGATGGAGAGGTAAAGAAAACTGATTATAGGGCAAAGTGGAAATCTGAATAGAACAGATGCTATGGACTCTTGGGGGAAAGATCACAGAGACTTAGAGAACCTTCCTCCTCCCCTTATGGGACCATTTTCCCTGCCCCTTTAATTTTGAAAAGAAATTAGAATTGTAGAAAAGTTGTAGAAATAATGTAATCAACACTGGACTTGTTTCAGTTAGATTCAACAATTCATAGTATGTCGCATTTGCTTTTTTGAAAATGCATTTTCAATTTACAATATTTTCAATTCGGAATTGGATAAACTGGCCCTAATTCCATTATAAGTGGAGGAAGCTCTTTTTTTCTCTCTGGGAAGGCTTAGATTTCATGATATCTTACTGATAAATTACCTGACTCATTTATAGGGTGCTTGCTTGTGTAATTCTGTATAAGCCAGTATTTCCCCTTTGCCATTGTGAAAACTGGCAAAGGGGCTGGGGGTACTCAGAAAGGACTTCGAAGTAGTGATGGAAACAACAAAAGCTAAAAAAAAAAATTTGGACTCTTGTAAAGTGACACTAAATTGTGACCACAGTTATGGAAAACCAGCTTTAAAATTTGAAGAAAAATAGCATATTGTGTTATTCCCCACCTATTATGGCCTTCCTCATCATACAGATGACAGATCTAAGAAACAGATACCATCAGTCAAGGCTGTGATTCTCTGCAATTTGATACTTATTCAAAATTTTCTTTTTTTTTTTCAATTACAGAGAATAACAAAGCTCTCCAAATTCCCATTTTGTTCCATTTTTTTAAAAAAAAAAATGCTCCCCCAAATTCTTATAATAAGAATTTTCACATTTTCGTAGTTAAGGGCAAGTGACAATGACAGCACAGAGGGGTATGAATGATGAAGAGTGGAAAACGTGCTTTCTGTGGAGAAGTGAAAATAGTGTTACTTGGTGAGGCTGAACTGTGTAGTGAAGTTGATGAGCACAGCCATCATTTCAGAGAAAAAGCCTTTCTGTGGTCTTCTTTGGAGAGGCCAGGATCTCAGTTCCAGTTTCAGGAAATTCCCAGACAGGAAATAAGATGTTGCAAGCTTTGGACTTTGGGGGCAGACTCATGAGAGAGATAAATTTCAACAATCTAAAAATTGCTCAGTGACGTTTTGGCTCTAAGGACATGTACCTGAGCCAAGGTGAAGCCACCCTTCCTCCTCCTGTTTGCAGCCGGCCCAAGTGCCACAGTCTTACCGTCCATCACCCCAGAACCAGTGTTTCATAAACACAGCCACATTCCTCACCTCTGAACTGGCCCTCCATCCCGGTTGCACAATCCTGTAGCAAATTGGAGGGTCATTCACGAAGGGCATTGGAAAACAAGGAGAAAACAATCCCTAATCTTGTGTGGAATAGAAAGAATCTGTTTTGGCAGGAGTAGGAGGGGGACTGCTATAGAACTCAGGGTTTAAACAGTCTGATCTCAGTGCTGGCAGCCTCTGAGATGACCTTGGAAATGACCTTGTGTCTACTTGATCAGAACCTCCAGACAAAACATGCGACTTCAGCCAAACATTTGTACGTTCCTGACATTTGCCCGTTTGACATCACATAGGGACAATCTTTATTGCACAGGCTTCAACTGGACTCTCAAATGAGCTGTTGTGAAGGGGTCCTTCCTACTCCTTTTCCCTCTTCTTTTAATACCTCCACAAATTATGCAGAAACATTGGACAATGCTGATATCCAGCTGTGTATGCTTCACATATTACCTAGAATACAGTGGAGTTAGATTAATTCAGAGATGACTGAAAGCCTAGGAACCTGAATGTGTATACCAGGATTTACAAATCTCTTAAAATGTTCTCATATGTGCTTGTGGCTTCCCAATTAAACAGAGAACTTGGTCTCAGGCTGTGCACAGCTTCCCTCGTGTTTACACGAGTCACAAATTTCTTCAGGGCACAGCCCACTGGGGTAATTGATTAATCTGAGGTAGTCATTAATTGTTTGATGTCTGTCATCTAGGGGGGTAGGATGGTCCCAGGGTAAATATAATTTGAGAATAGCCAGGGGTGAGTGACGGCATCTCTGTTCTCTCATCTCCCACTGACTCCAGACATTCAAAGCAAGTGTGGCAATTATCTAACTTAGAATGAAAGGAGTGACATGTGGCTTTTCCCAGTGGGGGATTTCATTGTCCACTTGGGTCCCTTTGTTTACTGCATCTTGAAGAAACCATGACAACCATATTTGCCTCTTTCCTCTCCCCTAGATGTTTCTGGTTCCATCTGTTAGACTGATAAAGTCAAATTTTTGTCTCTTTTTCTCCTTGGAAGTACACTTATGTGAGTTCATTTTTTTCTTTAAAAAAAGAAAATAAAAGTTGAAATGTGGTACTTGGTTTGATAAATTTTTAAATACCTTTTTCATACATCCTCTTTCTTAATTTTCACTGGCATATGGACATGTTCATTTACTTGATTTGCCAGAAAGTGCCTGTCCCTTGTGCAGAGATGGACCATTATAGGCAAAGAAAACAAACATTCTGCTTTGTAGGTATGTTTTTGTGTGATGGAAAAACTCTTCCTCCTTTTCCACCCTGGTGGTGTGAATGTAGGTCTAAGCCTGCCCTTTCAACTTACAAAATCACAGGTATTGGTTGCCAGGGCACCTCTTCTACCTTATAAAGTAGTTTTATCTTTTTCAAGGGCTTTTTACAAACTCATAGTTTCATCTGGCTCTTTGATGAGCGCTGCACGGAGAAAGTCCATACCAGGAGAAAGATTCAAGACTCACAGCAGGACACCGGTGTCATTAAATACTTAGGGCTTCTCTTTGTGTTGTAGGGTGGAGTGTGAATGGTGGAGCAGGGCTAGACAATACCCATCCCTGACCCTGGGCTGTATCTAGTGTTGCTGTTACCTTTATGACCTTGAGCAAAGCATTTCACCTCAATATGAACCTCAGTTCTTTCATGTGTAAAGTAAAGTGGAAATAGATGCCATATAAGTCACCAGAGTTTTCAAATCTTACTATTCTGTTTCAGGCTAAACACTGCCTAATGATTTTTGCTAGTTTCCCTCTTCTACCTCTAAAATACTGTTCTAATCTCAATCCTCTTCTTATCTTTCTCTGTAAACTTTCTCACTGATCTTGCCAGCTTTGCATTTTTAATTATCATTAAATACTTATGACAGAACAGTTTTATAAATGAACTTTACTGCATTATAATCATGTAAAATGCAGCGCATCCATTTCAAGTTCAATGAGTTCTTTTTTTTTTTTTTAAGATTTTATTTTATTTATTTATACAAGCGCTGAGTACAGTCAGAAGTGCGGGAGGGTGAAAGAATTCACCAGAGGCAGAGCGGAGAGTAGAGGAGGCAGACTGACGAGGTACACTGCTGAGGGGAGCAGCAGGCAGCAGGAGAGGTCTGTGTGCCATGTGGGACCCTCCCCCGGTGGCCGGGGATCGGACCAGCATTGCAGAGGCTGTGGGCAGCTTCGCAACCCAGCGCTCAACCACTGTGCATGAGTTCTTTCAAATGTAGACACTTGTGTATCTACCACCGCATTCAAGATGTAAAACATTTATATCATCCCAGGAAGTCTGTCATTCCTTTTTGTAGTCAATACTCTTCCATTCCTGACCCCAAATATTCACCAATCTGCTTTCTGACATATGTTTTCTTCTTGACGCCATGTTACTAATCTCAAGCAAATGTATAATTTCAACTACTCATTGAGAAACTTGACGTGGAGGCATCACAGGCCCCTTGACTATAATAAAACGGAAATAAAGATCTTTTCTCATAAAACTGTTTAATCACCAAAACTGCACATTTGAGAATCATCCAATTTCCTTCCTTGCCTTATCTATCCATGTTAAACCATCCCACTTAGTAGTCTAGTCCCTTAATAAACTCACATCTGTCCTTTCTTTTTATTACTCTTTCCATTCAGTACCTCATCACCCATAACGTCGTCCCACCAAGTTCAGAAGCTGACGCTGGATTTTCACTTCTACTTGCCCTGTTTGCACTGGGTGTCAAAGGCACCCCTGCCATTCTCTGTTTTGGGGGAAAATAATAAAACAGGGAGGTGTATGAGTCGTTTCAGGTGGACTCAACTTAACTCCCGAGATGAATTTCACATTTATCATCTTCACAGGTGGCATACAGGGAGCTGTCTAAGAAAGAGCCTCATTATAAAACTAGATGGAAAAAAGCAAGGTAAAGAGCAGCTGATGTAGCCACTTATCCAGAAAAGGTCCACACTTACCTGAGTGGTGGTGACACAGGATCAGCAACCTCTACTCAGCTCCCACAGCTGTCCGCACTGGTGGCCCAGGGTGGGTAGTTGTGACTCTAAATTGTTCTTCTCTGTAAGGTTTGCTTGCATTAGGCTCCACACATTTCTTCCAAGGTCATACCCCACATCCAGCTTCCAGCTCAGATGACATTCACATAGTTTCCTCCAATATATGTATATAATGTAAGCTTTTTGATATATCTCAGTTTTATTGCACATTGCTTTATTGTTGTGTTTCTCAGATATTGTGCTCTCTACAAATTGAATTTTTGTGGCAACCTGCTTTGAGAAAGTCTATTGGTGTCATTTTTCCAGAAGCGTGTGCTCAGTTTGTGTCTGTGGGTCACATTTGGGTAATTTTCACAATGTTTCAGAGTTTTTCATTATCATGTATCTGTTATGGTGATTTGTGACCAACCACCTTTGATGTTTCTATTGTCGCTTTGGTGTTCCATTGGCTGGCAACTCCCCCATCTCTGTCCCTCCGTGGGTCTCCCTATATTCCCACAACAATATTACAATTAAGTGAATTAATAATCTTACAAGGGCCTGTAAGTGTTCAAATGAAAAGAATGTTCACATGGTTTTCACTTTAAATAAAAAGGTAGAAATGACTGAGTTTAGAAAGGAGGGCATGTCGAAAGCAAGATAGACTGAATGTTAGGCTTTTTTTTACTAAACAATTTGCCAAGTTGTGAATGCAAAGGGAAAACTCTTGAAGAAAATGAAAAGAGCTGCTCCAGTGAACACACAAATGGTAATAAAGTGAAACAGCTTTATTGTTGATATGGAGACTGGTTTAAAGATGAGCAAGCCAGCCATAACATTCTACTAAGCCAAATTCTAATCCAGATCAAGTCCCTAACTCATTTCTTTGAAAACTGAGAGAGATGAGGAAACTACAGAAAAAAATGTTTGAAGCTGGTTGGTTCCTGAGGTTTAAGGGTAGAAGCCATCTCTGAAATACAAAAGTGCAAACTGACATAGCAAGTACAAAATACGAAAATGCAAGCTGACATAGCAAGTATGGAAGTGAAGTTGCAGCAAGTTCTTCAGAAGATCTAGCTAAGAGCATTGATGAAGGTGCTGCACTGAACAACAGATTTCAATAGATAAAACAGCCTTCGACTGAAAAAAGATGCCATCTAGGACTTTCATAGCTAGCTTGACTTCAAATCTTTAAAGGACAAATTAGGGTTAGCTAATGAGGCTGGTGACTTTAAGTTGCTCATTTACCATTTTGAAAACCCCATTTACCATTTTGAAAACCCTAAAGCCCTTAAGAATTATGCTAAGTTTACTCTATCTGTGCTCTATAAATGGAAAACAAAGTCTGGATGACAGTACATCTATATAATATTTTAAACCCACTGTTGAGACCAACTGCTCAAAAAAAAAAAAAAAAAAGATTCTTTTCAAAATATTATTTTACCAGTAAAAGATCGTGGCTTGCTGAAGGGTCAGATGATGGTTAGTAAGGTTTAGCAATAAATTATTTTTAAATTAAGACATGCACATTTTTTAAACATCATCCTATTATATACTTACTAGATGACAGTTTGGTATAAACATTAGTTTTATATGCACTAGAAAGTCAAAACATTTGTGTGATTCATTTTATTGCGGCATTCACTTTATTGCAGTGGTCTGGAACAGAAGTGTGCCTGTAGAATCTACCCACATAAGGACGGTTTTCAGGACAAATCATTTCTTGTATATATCAGCCGCTCCCTAGATTAATATCTTTTGAAAACCACTCATCCCCCTTGGGATAAAGACTCTTTCTGATATAACCTCATGACTCACCAGTTTCTCCATTTATTCCTCCCCCAGCAGCATACCCTGTGCTGGGCTTTAACAAACTAGCTACATGTTGCCTGAAAACGTTCTTCATTTTTCTACATCTTTGTATATACTGTTTTATTTCCTCTGCCTGGAATATCAACCTGATGAATCCCCATTTGTCCTTCAAGACTTAGCTGTAAGTAACTCTCCACATTTCTTTCACCACACTTTGTCTATTTCTCCATTGTAATCACCAAGATTACAATCCAGTGTGGAAAAGGAGGGAGTAGTACAACCCATCAACCCATTTCCCAAATTGGCCTCAATAGCTTAAGCTGATGTGTGCACACTCACTTGCTGAAGGGCCCACCCACCTGCAGGGAAGGAGGAAGAGCACATTTAGCAAGTTTCAACTCTTTTTTTTTTTTAATTTTTTTAAGATTTATCTGTTTAAACAAGAACTGGGGTACAGGCCAGATGCGCAGGATGGTGAGAGGATTCACCAGAGACAGAGCGGGGAACAGAACAGGCAGACTCACGAAATACACTGCTGAAAGGAGCAGCGGGGGAGACAGGAGAGGTCTGCTGTGCCATGTGGGATTCTCATCAGCTGGCCAGGATCGAACATGCGCTGCAGAGGCTGCGGGCAGCTTCACAGTGTGGCGCTCAACCGCCTGCGCCACCAGGGAGGCCCAGCTTCAACTCCTGAGTCAAGTTCTATGTTATATCTCCTTTAAGAGTTTCAATGAGGAGTTGGACCTTCTTCTACTGCAATTCATTCATATCTCCTCCAGTTTCTTTCACTTATTCTGGAACATAGTGTGTTCACTGTCATTTGCTCCTCACTCAAGGTCCTGCTTCTTCCCTTGAGCTCTTCAAGCTGCCTGCTAGATAACACCCCAGGTGAAGGGAAATAAACCTCTCAATGTTCTGCATGATGTAGAATCTGCAATCCTATAGGTATGTTCTGTGGATTATCTTGCTATATCATCTCTCTTCTCTTACCTTCTCTTATTAGTCTGGTGTGTACTTGACCCCAGGAGGAGTAAGCAAGATGGGGAAAACCTATCCAGCCAATGGTATTTCTTTCTGTATATATACATAGTGCTGTGCATAATGTCTGGCAAAATCAATCAATGAATTAAACTCATATGAGTTTGAAGCTTGCCTACTTCTATTCCAAAGTAATGATATTTCAAGTTGCATGTTATGCCTTAATGAGAAATCTGCTCAGGAGTAAATGAAAATGTGATTGAATATTTACAAATATGTTTGAATTCAAAACGCTTTCCCATCTAAAATTAGCAATAAGACAACATGGGGATTATGCTAAGTGAAATAAATCGGAAGGAGAGAGACAAATACCAGATTGTGTCATTTATATGTGGAGTATAAAGAAACAAAGCAAAGGATCAGATAAAGCCAAACCAATAGCAAATACTAGAAATCTGACTGTAGAACTGAGGCTACCAGAGCGGGAGGAGAAGGGGAGTGAGCAAAGTGGGGAGGGAGCACAATGGACTATGGTGGAGGACCATGGATAACTTGGTGTTTTCTGTAGTTTGGCAACAACACCTGAAGAGGGTGATCCTACACCTATAAATCATATATAATGTTGTATACCAATGTTACTGAAATAAAAAATTAAAATTAGCAACAAACGGAGACATTTTGCAAAACTCAATGCATTATACCTTGAAATATAAATTGGAACCAAGCCTGCAGAATTAATATGGGCAATTAATTTGCCAAGTCTTGTTTCTGGTGGCAGTCATGTATATGCAATGTTTAGGAACAGGTGATGCTTGGAGAATCTAGGGTACATCAAAAGGGAAAAAACAAACAGTACAGCCAGACAATGTACACTATTTTCTTTAATACTTTCAAAGAAGGAAGGTAAAGATCAGGTCAGAGCACTGATGGCAGGGACTGAGGTCGGACTGTTTGTTTTCCCCAAGGAGAGGGAAAATGGGGCCGGTGCTCCTGTTTCTGTGCAGAAGTGACAGGCCCAGGAGAAGGTACACCTGGAAATCAGTTGGTTTTTAATAAATGTTTGTAGAATAATTATCAGAAAGTTGGGCAAAGCATTCAAGAAGTCACTTAGA